GGTGAAGGTCCAGATACTGATTTTCACTGTAAACTTTCCTGCTATTTGTGCTTTCAAAACTTTGTGAACAGACCTGTGAGAAGAAACTGAACCATTTACTTACAGAACAGTTATGTCACAGGACAAAACGTAGCATTCATGCCTTTGCTATTACAGGGCTAAGGCTCTTCTTATATCTTGAATTCTGCTTGTGTTTGCAGTTAGCCCTTAATGGGTATCTCTGTTAGCCTCACTAGCACCTTCAGGGGATAAGATTAGTGATCTACCAGCTTGACACAGTCTCAGGCTTCAAATATTCTGTATTTATTTAATTTACTCCTAGATGGCACTGCTTTTGTACAGGGTATTCCCCACAACTCTTTATTCCAAATGCACATTCCATATTCTGAGGAAGATTCTTCTCCTACCACTGCAGTATGACTTTTTTTGTGTGTCTCTGGGGAGAAAAAAAAAAACAAACTCACAATATGATCCTCCACCACTATAACAAGAAAATTTAAATTCTAGTTCGATGGGAATGAATACCTAGTTGCCTGATAACTCCCTTCTCCCCTGCTGTATCAAAATTTATAACTGCTTATTACAAAAGTTGCTTCTACAGAGTAACCCAATGCTAGCAGAAAAACCCTTCTAGCGTATCAAAATGGTACATCATTTGGCATGAAGTTATTGATGGATAATTGTACAAAGTTACAGAATTCACGTAGCAATTTTAAGTGCATTTGTTAAGGTGATGTTGCATGAAGTACTGTTGGCATTAATTATTCCATTAAAAAAAAAATCTTTCTTTAGTCGCCATTAATAACCTTCTTATTACTTTTCCAAAAAGAAGTACTAAAACATCAAGTAGTTCATTCCTTACGGCTTCACACAGTGAAGTTCATGCTAAATTGCCCAGAAGGAACAGTTTCTCAATAGCTATCCTTTGTGAACACATCATCAGTTTCATCATCATTCATCCCTCTCTGATAGCGTACTGAAGAGAAGGCACTCCAGTGAAGACGCTTCTTCTTATAGAGATACCACACTAACACAACAACGAAGATCAAGATAATCAGCAGGGCAAATGCTACAGCCACCCCAGTATGATTAGAACCTGTAACAGAACAAAAGACAGAGTTATTCAACGATTCAACAATTTAGCTGAAGTTAAGCAAACTGCTTCATCATATTAATAGTCTTCACTTCATCACGTGGGAAGTTAGGTTCAAGATCTATCAGGAATCGGCATCTATTAGCTTATTTTTGATCATTCTGTTGTTAATTTCCTGATCATGTTTCGGCTGGAAGGGACCCCAGAGGTCCAAAAAACCTAGTAGTAAATGCTGCACTCATTTCAATGTTTGCATACTTCAGATATCTAATGAGATCCTGGACTCTCACAGTGGGCAGGAATTATTCTTCCCTCGGACTGAAAAGATCCTGTTGACATCTCCTTAGCAGCGTGAAGTTAAATCTCTTCCTGCATTTCCACTTCAGCGAAGACATATACAAAATCAGAAAGATTCCTCTACTTCTCAGGAACTTGCTTGCATAATGCTCAGGTAACCGGTTTCTTTCCTGAACGCAACAGAGTGTGGGGAAGTAACGTGAGGCCCAAGTCTTCTTCTGGAGCTGCCGGGGACCATTTCCAGAAGCCTCCTCAAGACTGAAAACACAACCTGCAGTACCTGCTTACCCGGCATCTCTCACAAGCAGCAGTCTTTCTGTTCCCACCTACACAGACTCACCCATGAGACAGACCCTGTGGTAAGAAGCGACAGCAACTATTCTATGCTTTCTTTTAAGCGGAAATTTTGGTTCTCTGCCTTACCCTTTAAGTGGACAGTGGGATCCAGGAGCAGTAAGTTCCTAGAGAATTTGTCCCTGAAATGTAATTTTATGGAAAAAACAGCAACAGAAGTTTCCTGCTTAGGCAGAGGTACTTGACAGTGATCAATACTTTTGTGAATTGCACTTCCGTTATTTCAACACAGACTTTGCCACCAAAAAACCAGAATTCTCAATACAGTCACTACAGAATTCTCTGCTAAAATCAATGTTTCCATACCTAAAGGAGCTTTACAAACCACTCTGCTTTGACTATGACTGCAATCAACTTTGGACCATGTGCCAGTTGTGGACAGGATAACACTGCATTTTCCATTGACTTCTGCAGTTTTGTTTTCCCAGTTGACGTAATTAACTGATGAGCCATCAAGCCAGTTCAGGGACTGATCTGTTGAGGGAAAAAAACTGCTTAGTTTAGATCATCAAAACATGCAGTAATTCTGCACAATGTCATTCACAATCTCTTGATTTCTTCACGTTGCTAAAAGAAACAGGGCTGACTATCTATCCCGCACATTAAAAGCAATAAATATGAACACATTGCTTAGCCACACCTCCAGATTTTTAGGTTTTCATGGATTTGCAACCTAACCAGTGTTGAGGAAGATGAATTTCAGTGACTCCGGATCATCTTAAATGTGCAATGGGAAGAGACTTAAGCTACAACAAAGTCCAAAGGGCTTTATAATGCTAAATGAGGGATTCCAACCTCAGGCAGAAGTTACTGTAGGCTATGAACACTAAAAAGCTGTATTCTTATTTGAGGATTTATGCATTTTTATCTACCACATGAAACATTCATGCTCATACATGGTTGCTACTTCTTACCCTTAGAGCTCTGAGCCAGGCCAAGCCACACGTTCTTGGTGATGAGATCATTTTCCTTTATGTGTGTACTCACAAATGCATTTTCTTCAGCATCCACAATAGTCAGAAGGGTTGCTGAAGGATCTAAGGGTAAGAGGAAACCGGTAAGAATTGCAACTTGCTTGTACATTGAGTTTTCTGTGGGAACAATTGTTAACAGCAAATTTTGGGTGTGTAAAATTAGCTTGAAATAACCTGCAGAATAAAGACATAAACCTCCCATTCCCCAAAATACAGCGTAACGTTATACAAGACAGCTTCAGATGACTGGTTATTCAAGCAGATCATACAAAATAAAATGAGAGTAAACTTACTGCTGCTGTGGAGTACATACCTGGAAGATATCAAAAGGTATGCCACATTCAGAATTACTAGTCTTGTCCAAGTAATAAGCCCTTTTCAAAAATTTAGTTGAACAAAAGTTCAGCATTTTGCTGAGTCAAGTTAACTTCTAAATCAATCCCTCATTATGCCTCAGGTTTTTATATACAGTGTTATAGCAATTAAGGAATAAGAGGGAGGAAAAGGTATACTGGAGATGGGCTCAAAGCATACCTGTTCTTTACAAGTATATGCAAATATAAGCCAGAAGCTTAATTTAGAGAAAGATCACTTTATCTTTCAACTACCAGGCCAGGTAGGATTGAACATAAAACCACATCCAGGCCAGGGACTACTCACACCTTTTATTTTTCATCCTATGTAGTGGGTTCAAGTTCACATCATAAGATAATTCAAAGCAAGTTACGACAGTCACTAGCTTCTAAGCTAAGAAGATGATTAAAAATTCTGTACGTGAGACTGCTTAGCATCATCTTCCGCAACACAATTCCCCACATAGCTTATCACAGAAGAGAGAAAATCCTTTAACTTTACATAAATTTAAGTTTTTTAGTGATATTATGTGCCTTAATAGTATCTATGAAGTACGTGCTTTGAACCATTTGACAGGTTAGCAAGCACCCTATTAGCAAGCAGCTAATGCAAGGATATAATAAGAAAACACTGCTAAGAGCACTAGCTTTATGTACAATTAACTTCATTACAAATAAATATAATGGTTTCCTCCAAACTGTAAGCCTTACATATCTGAATCCTCTACCAATGGTTGTCTGCATTTTACTCTCAGATATCCATGTGCCAAACAAACCGTCAGCACATTGCAGAGATTTACCAAGAACCTTAATCAGATATTCAAAAATAAAGCTTGCTATTACTTTTCCTAAACTAGAGAGGCCTAAAAGCTTAGGTGTAGGTATAGGTTTTTTGGTTGTTGGTGTTTTTTTTTTTCTTTTCAAATAATGGACTAATTACAAGTTGTAATGTGATAGTCTAAACATACTCAGTTTCTGGCAGACTTTCTTGGCATCTTCCACATTATATACAGAAAAATTGTAGAACGCCATGTCAAATGCGTAACAGTGATCCTTATACTGCATCCATTGCAGGGTACTGCTAAGTTGCGTGCATCCCGGGGCTCTGCTCACTTGCTTGGGCTGTAATTGTCTCTCTGCAAAGACAAAGAAATCGACATAATTTCTGCTGCAGGAATTGCACTTAATCTCTTTGTAGGAACAGGACAGTAAGTATTAACAAGGACTATTTCTCCTACCAACAACCATGATTCAATTAGTTTACATCCCTTCTTTGTGTGTCATAGATGAATTTATTTGAAAATGAGCATAAGAAAAGTCCCAAAGACTTGGGAACCATTTTTTTCCCTTGCCTTTCAGGGGGTTTTGAAGATCAGTGTATGCACTTGATAAGGATTTCAATTCAGAAAAGATACATACAGTTTGATATTGATATCACAGGTGATGAAAAATTGACCAGGATTGTTTTAGATCTTCACCACTAGAATGAAGAGAACTAATTTCCCTTAAGTATTAAAAAGTGTTTTATCAACAAGACAACCCTTCTTAAAGATGAAATCATGTGAAGTATTTCAGCCTTCATTTCTGGTTCTAACTACAACACGTGAAGATAGAATATATACGACAACTACACAAAATATGAGAAATAACACTTACCATTTGGAGGGCTATAGCAAATGGCACCTTCAGCAACATTTGTACATTTTGTACGGTTCCAAGATCCTTTAGTATCCAATAGAACACAGTTCTCAGTAGTATTTGAGTTTTCTAATTCCCAAGGACAGTAGTCAAAGTCGCTTCCATCGGACCATTCAAAATTAGCTTTACTTCCCTAATTAAAGAAAAAACCGCAACTTTTAAACCACAGCATATGGTTGTGGTTTAAGTCTTGTTTGTCATTACCAAGTCATGTAGCAATATTTATCCCTTGCAGAGTGATAAATTAAAATGCAGGTGGTCTAATTTTCTAAATCCATCCTAAATAAATGCACAACATAATTTGCATTTTCCAATCAATTCATAACATAAAAATCCTGTTTATTTGTGGAAACTGAGAAAGCGTGGCACGTTTGTAAGCTTAAGCCTGCAATGAGCCTCGTTTTATTCTATGGGGAACATTTTACTTAATTTCATCCTGCTGTTTCATTTAAGTAGTCTGCCTTCCTTGCTATGAACATTACTAGATATGTTGGCAGCCACTAAACTGCTGACATGGCCTCAGTGAGTAAAGCTGGGCAGCTCAGGAATGGTTTGCTGTGCTAGCTCCTACTTCAGCTGGAAACCTTTGACAATGAAGAGTCAATCATGAGAAGTGGACAGACCCATTCGGACCAAAGGACAGGCAGAGGCAGCGAAGGTATGCAGAGAAATCACACACCTCTGTCAATTAACTACCACGACCAGGTCTGACAATTAGTGTGGGGAGCAGGGTCAGGGCCACAGGCTTTTGGCTCTAAGGTTAAGCAGACAGAGGAGGAGGAAGATCTGCAGTCGCCTCTGCTATGCCTCCCAGGAGAAGGGACGCACAACTTGCTAGAGAGCCAGTTCTGGACCTGCCTTGGAGAGCCAGTCCTGACCTGGACTCAACAGGCTCCACACAGCCTCGTCTGATAGTATTTGCTAACGGAATCTGATCCTACAGAGGGTCACAAAATATGGAGCTTCTAAAGGTAGCACTGCAAATTGTGCTTCCTCGTGCTGCAAGAAATGATGTGGGACCATTGCATTATTTTAAAACATCAAGGATTTGGAAAAAAAAAAAACCAAAAAACTTAGTGTGGCTACATACATTAACATTGAATATACTGTAATGCCTGTTATATGGGATTGAAAAAGTAGGTCATTTACTACATGGAATAGAGATTCCAAGAAACTGGAACAAAGCGTCAGAAAATATTTCTTATCTTGTACATAAAATTATTTACAAGCTCTGTTACTGATGTCACCAACGGTATGTACTTACATCATGAACTGACAACCCAAGCCACAGAGGATAGCCATCCCGCTTGACAATATCTTCTAGAAATAACTGTTGTGATTCACTGTGCACACTTGCTAAATCACTCCTATTTTGTTTGCATTCTCTCAATGCCTCATACCACGTTAACTTTTTCTGAAGGATCCTGTATGTTCTGTTTCCATGAGGAAGAGAGTCAGGCAATGGAGGCTTGTGTTGTTGAGGACCTATTTCAAAGAACAAGGCAACAATGAGTTCTGTGGACTTCATTCATGTTACCAGGAACATATAGAAAGCATTAAAATCCACCTATATCAATGTAACTCAAGCATGAAAGTGTTCAGTACAAGCCACTCATACCAAGTATGTTATCTTTTGCTACTTTGAACACTATGATGGAGGAGTTCAGCAAACGCATACCTCCTGAGCAGAGTATCACAGCAGTGATCCACAGACTGACCATATAACCCCAGAAGCCCATGACAGCTGTGCCATGCGTTTCACTGGGAGTAAAACCAAAGCCTTATATAGTGGGCACTGCAGAACCAGGACTTAAATTACCACCCTCATTCAACAACACTCCAGTACTACACATAAATCTTCTCTCCTACTTACCTCTTTCGATTTTACAGGCAAGAATACTGTACACATTATAGTGTTGAGCATGCCAACTTTGAGAATAATTATAAATATCCCAAAAACCATCAAGATTTACACCAGCAAAAAAACTGTTCTTCTTTATGTTAGGTCTTCCTAGCCTCCAGTTATTGTAAGTCAGATGAGTTTCATCATACCACTTAAGAACTTGATCTGTGGAAAATAGTGAATATTTATTAAAACATTGGTATTATGCGTACAAATACCATTTAACTCTGAATATATTAATGACACTAACAGATATTCACTTTGGAAAAAATGCAGTGATACTCTAAGTTACTGTAAATCAGCTCCATATACAATGCTAAATATATTAGCATTACTCATCCAGAGCATTTTAAGTCCTGCTTTCCAGGGAAATCAAATCCAGACTAAACAGAACATACTGGATCTAATTATCACTCAAACAGAAAGCATGTCCAGCGATTTTCTTCTAGAAGATAAATACAAATATAAAGCATTATTATAGGTTTGCATTCAGTTTGACTTCAGTTGTATACTGCAGCATGCAAGAAACATGCACTTAATGCTGCAAACTTTGTCTCCAATCCAGTTATTAAGAATAAAAAACAACCTTAAATCTTACCACTGTCATCATAAATCACGCCCAGCCAGACCCACATGGCCAGGCCGCTGAATGAACGAAGCTGCTCAGTAACAAAGTCGTTCTCCTCTTCATCTCGAACGCTGAGAACAAATGCTTCTGGGTCTATTGAAAATTTTTTAAGATTACTTTCTTCCAAATTCACCTCTCAGTTACAAAATAAATATTTTTTCTATTATTTGTAATAATTATTACAGATAGGTCAAGAATGTGCAAATGCTAGACCTTCATAACTTAATAACTAAATGAACAGTGCAAAAACAATTTTCAAAGGTATTATCAACAGTGCTTCCCCTGGTTTTGTGGATAAGTGAAAGACATCTGCTCCAGAGATATTTGTAGGTCCTACTGTCACTGCCACTTCAAGTTGTATGTAGTAAAAATTCTCTGCATAGAACATAAAATTATCACCAATCTTTCATGACTTGCTTGAATTGCCTAGTAGAGAAAGAGTATTAAGAAAAAGACTGAATTGAAATCAATTCCCCAAAAATGAAAACAGTTTCTGGAAAGATGCATGTCTAATTGCCATAAACAATGGTTTAATATAAGAGGGAAGCTGTTCCTAAGCTCAAACTTTGTTCAAGATGGACAGGAAAAGCCCACATGCTTTTCTGAACTGTACTCAGTCTGTTTACTTTGTCCACCTAAGTGTTCCAACACAGCAAGGGGGGGAACAGGAGCTACTGGGAGGAATCCCGTGGGCCAGGGCTCTCGAAAGCAGGGGGGTCCAAGAGTGCTGGTCGCTCTTTAAACGTCACTTCCTCCATGCTCAGGAGCGGTGCATCCCCCTGAGAAAGAAATCGAGCAAAGGAGGCAGGAGACCTGCATGGTTAAACAAGGAGCTTCTAGCAGAGATCAGGTGGAAGAGAAAGGTCCATGGAATGTGGAAAGAGGGGCAGGCCACTTGGGAAGAGTACAGGAATGTGGTCAGAGCGTGCAGGGATGCGATGAGGAAGGCCAAAGCCCACCTGGAATTGAAGCTGGCAAGGGATGTCAAAAACAACAAGAAGGGCTTCTTCAACTACATCAGCAGCAAAAGGAAGGCTGTGGGGCCGCTGCTGAACGAGGTGGGTGTCCTGGTGACGGAGGATGCAGAGAAGGCAGAGCTACTGAATGCCTTCTTTGCTTCAGTCTTCAGTGCCAAG